CAATATTCTTTATATAGAGATGAGGTCCAGATTGTGACACAATACTTGAAACTATTTATAATGGCTTTTGTTGGATTTTTTCAAAATCGTATTTAGTCATCAGTAGAGTGAATTTACAGTTAAGTAAATCAAGGATTAAAACAACCTAAGAAAGCAGAGGAAGTTTGTTAAGATTTTGTGTGGTAAGCCTTTAATGTGGCTAGCGTTCTTTCCTTACACAGGACAGAACAGCAGAAGGGAGAAAATGGCCACTTAACTGTATAAGAGAAATAGTAACATGTGTAACAATCCTAGTCAGAGCAGATTTTCCTTTTTTTTTTTTTTTTATATCTTAGCTAACACACAATATCAAAATACTAAAGCATCCTGAAGTGATGTAAGAGAAGAGGATAAATATGGTGCGTGAGAAGTGCAGGAGCAATATATTAAAGAAAGAAATTAAGCAGAAGTTCACCTGCTGTTGTCATGATCAAGACATGGAGAGGAGCAGCTGCAACAGAATAGATAATTTAATATCCTCCCCCCCAAAAAAAGAAAAACAAACAAAAAATAAAGAGTTAAATGAAATACCAGGAAAAAAGTAGGTTTCTGAATTAAGCGTATGTATGAGAAAGTGAAAGAAAGCACAAAAAAAATAAGCCTACATAATAATCTTGGTTTAAAAACGTGTATTCCTACTTTGGTAGTAATTAAGTGGGTTTCTCTACGTATGTTCTCAAATTGCAAGTCATATACCTAATCTGTACAGTTAGACTTCAAAACAAGATTAGGGGATATGCTGCTTCTTTTAAGTAGGCAACATTTAAAATTTAGACCATGGTGTACCCTGAGTAATGCATCTAAAGTGATTCCACCCAGTGCTTCTGATAACACAGAAAGCCACAAGTCTCCTTTCTTCAAATCTCCTCTCTGTATTCCCTGTCCTCTAGCTTGTTCCACTTCAGCATGTTTCTTGTCCTCCTTTTGTTCTGTGTTACAGAATGCCAATTTTCAAACTATGAACTGTTCATATTCTTTTAAACTGTTTATATACTCAGTAGAGTCTCATATGCTGCCTAGTTAGTGTTCTTTTGGCAGTGGGTTTTTTTTAAATATATTTCTCCATTGCCAATTTCTTTCATTGACATGAACAGAGATTTGCTTTAGTGAAACATCTGCTATGTTTTTTCTTATTGTAACTTTCTGAATAGAGGTTCATAAAGGCTACAGTATATTCTAAAATCATTTAGTATTGCACATTTTAAAAATGACTCTCAGCTGGTAGCTGCCAGGTCCTGTTTCCATTAAATTTCAAGAAAATTAATGTCACATTGGGGAAAGCGATACTATAGATTCAAAATATAACACTCGAAACACATTTCATTTACCTTGTTAGCATTGATCCAGTCTCCTTTTTTGCAGACAGGCAGCTAAGAATGATAATTCACATTATATGTCACAGTTTCAGCTGCTGACTCACTTCTTTTTCCCCCCTTTCATTGATGGAAGCAACACTTCCAGAAAGGTAAACTCACTAGTAATAGCCCAACCATTTCATTTTACCAAACGCAAATACAGATACATATGGAACATATGTATATGTACATGGTTTCTCTCCTCTTCATCCGATTAAATCAGTATTTCTCATTAACAAGTTTTACTGTGAACATACTAGACTCAGGAAAAACTGCAGAGCTATTGCCTAACTTGATGTAGAACACAGAAGCAAGTTAATATCAGAGCACTACCTGAAGTTCCTCGCTTTCAGGGCCATGTTATTGACAATGTGACAAAACTGTCCATTTTCTTACCTCTCATACACCCACACATTTGTCAAGAAATTTCTTTGTAATACAATCTAACACAGCTAAGCTAGATTTTGTTCACCATCTCATTAGAACTTAGGTATGAAAGGCAATATGATAATTTTGAGCATCATCTATACTTTAAAAACACAGACTTGCAGCCAGCCTTACCTTTACCACCCACACTTAACTACTGTGGCTAGCACAGGCATAACAATATGACACTGGCAAACAATGTCTAAATGGTGCAAGTGAAAAGAAACCCTGCAGTTCAGCATTTTGCCTTCCAACTTAATGAAAGTATTTTGTGCTCCTCCACAATAGGATATGGTGAAATATGAGAGTGAAACTGAGAGACACACTTGCATCTATGTAGGCATTACTTCTGTCCCTCCTAATACTTGAACAGGATATACAGTAATATTATTAGCAAAGCAGTAAAACTCTACCTTATTGGACATAGAGCATCTAAAATTTACAACATAGTGAAAGATTTTTAACATTACTGAAATGTAAGATTTCACAGTTTTAAAAGGAGAAGCAAATCTGATTTACTGAAAGTAAGTTTAAATGTCATGGGGAAAATTATAAAGCTGCAGGAGTTTTTACTTCTACTTTAAGTCCATGCATGAAAATATTTAGAAGCAGGTGATTTTTTTAAAGTTAGAGATGTTTGTGTTGAGACTGTGTGCACCACCAAAATAAATTTTGCCCCTTAAAAGAGAATTTCTTGGTTTTGAAATGGCTGTAAGAGATTCTTACCAAAGATTTAGCTTTATATCACATTGATGAAATTACCCACATATTGAAACAAAAAATCTATTTAAATTTTAAAGATAGGTTAAAATCATTTCCCTTTCTGGAATTTCAGATGCAGGTAATGCTTTGGTTAGTTATACAAGGGTTGAAATATGCCTATGAAATTCCATATCAGCAAGACAACAGTTCTTTATCAATTCAGCCCTTTGCCTGTGGGTGTCACTCTGCGATCAACTGAAACACTTCCCTACCAGGGGAGCTCAGTAAGAACCCAGGAATTTGAGGTTAGCCACTGAAGCACTGCAGAGGAATAAATCACCTCCCAATACCTCTCTGATGTATTGCTTTATAAAAACATGATCCAAGTTCAGTACATATCCCATGTCTTGGGCAAATATGTAAGACTGTAGTCTTACTTAAAGCCACTGAAAATGTTATAAAACATTCAATTTCAAACACAAAGACTTCCCTTTTGTAATAGAAGCATACTATTTCAAGGCATACAACTGAAATGTCAACACTGTTGATAGTAAATCTAGAATCTAGTAGCCATGGAGCCTGCCTGCAGATGACAGAAAACATGTAAATTATGAATGTATCTGCTGTTTCAGCTAGGTGTATGCAACAATTATGCACACAGCAGTTCCGCAGTTGTTTCATTTTTAAGAGAAGGTGTGACTAGTGGAGACGAAGTCCAACCATAAACTCATCACCACCATAACCTGCTAAACCATGTCCCAAAGTGCCTCATCTACACATTTCTTGAACACTGTCAGAGACGGTGACTCTACCACTTCCCTGGGCAGCCTGTTCCAATGCTTGACTACTCTTCTGTACAGAAATTCTTCCTAATGTCTAACCTGAACCTCCCCTGGCACAACTTGAGGCCATGATGCACCTCAGTGCTTTACTGTACATGATAACTTAATGACTTAGCTAAAAATAGGCACTAAAAAAAGGAAATGTTGTGCAGATTTTCCCAAAGGACAAGTAATTGTTAGTATAGATGTGTTTTAAAAATATTTAGTGTCAGATTAATTGGGATATATGAGAAGAACAATACTGTACTGCACTAAATATCACTATTTCATACAAAGCTGCAGAGAAAGTCATTTTCATTAAAGCTAGATATTCTTACTCTACCACTGGCATTCTGGTCATCCAAAAGGCGCTAATATCACAAATTTTTCTTTTGATAAAACAATGTAATGATTGTGCAGCAAAGGAGCAAAGATCACTCTTCCAGAAAGTACTTAATTCATCCTCAGCAATCACTATACACACCTATCTTTCTGAAAGAGAAAAATAACACATCTTTTGGGAAAATCCTGCAGACTATTCAGGGTTAGAATAAGCCATGAAAACAAATTTTAAAGCTTAGATCTTGGCATATGTATTAAATATATATGTGCTGTGCAAGTTAAGCATTTTCATGTTGTTTGTTAGTTTTAAAGCTCAAAAGAAAACAAATCCAAACAGCACGGGCCACAGCCAAATAAACCACTATCAGCTAACATACAAACTTCCCATACATATCTTGAATTAGTTAATTTACAAGCCCAGTTACGATAATATTGATCCTCTTCTGGACCAGTATCATTAGTCATTCCTAACGGGACTTCAGTTTTGTTTTTGAAAAATATGGACTAAAGATCGTTGTAAACTCATTTGAGATTAACAAGTTCTTTTTTTTTCCAGGTATCCTGCAGTGCTACATGGAACATGGCTCCACAGAAATGAAATGCTTTTGTGTGACAGCACCTCAGCATGAATTTGTAGGCACATGCCTCATCAAATCTGATGGCATTGTAAAATGAAGTCTTTACTCAGTGTAAAGAATAACATTACTCAAAACGCTTTAAAGTGCTTTAAAGTAATGCTCTCACAGGCTTCGAGGCCAATCAGGATAACCTTTATAGGGATGAATATGGGTGGATATGTGTTTCAATACATCTTGCTACATTTCAACAAGGTTGTAGGACTGCAAAGGCTTACAAAAAAAATTCAACTGTGAGGATATATGAACACAGTGGCCAAATACTTCTAAGCCATGTAGCCTTCAGATTGCTTGAATATTCCTTGCTTCTCATAACTTATTATTAATCCTATTCATTCTAGAGTTGGAGCTTATCTAAACTACTTCTTCAGCATGGGAAGCATTCACCACCTGGACTGATTAAGCTGTTGGTCTCAATTATCACAAATTTTAAACAAGCACTGTATTTGTGATTTGTGAACTCCCTCTCACTCCTCTCAATCCTGACAGTGGGCTCATTGGCACCAGCACACTAACTTCCAGTCTCTATACTTAGACTTGTATGACTGGCAAAACTTAGGTGACCATAAAAAAATGATTACCAGATCAAAGTAATGAAGGAAAATTGAAAATTTAACTCATAATTAAGCATTATCTGTCACTGCATTATTTCCCCAAATAATGCTAACTGATCCACTCACCCTGAATGAATAGGGCTGGAAGAGAGCGCCACATTGTCCAAGTTTTCAGGGCCCCAGCTTAAGCGATAGGAATTCCTTTCAGCCTCTTTGGCCAGAGTTGTTACCTTGACAGGCAAAAAAGCATTTTCTTTTACTACAACAAAATTAATTAACCAATCAAACAATAAAAATATGTATTTTGCATAGTAGTAGTTGAACATTTCAAACATTATTTTAAATAAGACTAAAAGGAGTAGTAATAGTATTATAATATCAGAAATGCTTTAACATGTTGTACTTTCTCAAAGCAATCATATGGTCCCAGTGAATAGCAGTGCTGTGAGTTACCAAACCGATAGTTTCTAAGTCATTTTGTCACTACAGACACACTTCAGCACATTGAGGAAAATGTCTTTGAGTTTGTTAGATCACCTGAATATTTGGACCAGTGGATGTCAATTTTTTTTAAAAGTCATGTAAACTGTGACCATTATAGAGAGAGTCCATGTATTATAATAATACAGCTATTTTGGAATGGAGTTTAATACTGCACAATATAAAGCAGATTAAATACCACGTGAAACTAGAAGGATCTACATTATAATAAATTTACATTATAATAAATAAAACAGCATGCACTATGTTATACCATTGGTACCATCCACAGTGAAATTATTTCCATATTTGTCCAGCAGAGGAGTAAGCTTAAGAGAAGCTGCCTACCTGCTGGCTGGGAATGACCACCGTATCATCTATCATGGCACTGTCCCTCAGGTAGGAGGCGTGGCTCAGCGTGTGGGACCTGTCGGAACTGAAGGATCGCAGGCTGGCAGGTTGGTAGGATGCCATAGCAATGTAGCAGCAGTACAGATGATGTTGGAAAGGTGTGGTGACAGATCAAGTGGGAGAATGAGAAAAGCGTGCTATTAGCAAATACGATGCAACTTCCAGGGGGAGTATGCACAAGGGGCGGGGGCAAAAAATGGAGCTCTGCAAATCTCTACGTTATGCTACTTTTCTCACTAAAAGCCACAAAATTATTTTTCTCATTTGCTTCAGATGAAGAAACTGTAGACTAATTTAGATTACAGTCTATTTTATATTCGCTAATCTTTTATAGTTAGCTTTGTGGCTTAGTAGTTTCTGTTCAATAAAGAGCAGGAATTCCTTCGGAGGCTCTTTGAAGGTGTTCTCTCTCCTGCTGTGTGATATAAGCAAACCACACAGGCAAATCAAAATACTAAGGTCTGAAGAAAAGCTGAAATGACTCTTTCTGCAACTTTGTTCTGACCTACAAATGAGTAACCTCCATATTGTCCCCTGGAAGGTACACACAGCAACGTGGATTGTGGCCAGCCACATGCTCCTGTGTAAACAAAATTCCTCCTCAGAACACCAAGAGCATCTTGAGAAAGACAATCCAAAACGTGAGCACTGGTTTCTTCGTAAGTACACACAGCTCTACCAAAAACTGGTTGCTGTAGCAATGAGAGATGCAAGGCAGTAATAAGCTGCTTCCAAGCACTGGCTCAGAATTTAGCTGCAGGATCCACTAGCAAAAAGCAAAAAAGGCACAGAAAGAGACACCACAACAAGGACACACTGAGGTAAATGGGGTTTCTGCTACCAAATAGCATTATTTTTATCTTTCAGATATTTACTATCTAAGGTATTATGATAGGCATTAAATAATAACAATAATAAAACATCTGAAGGTGGATGATCTACGTGCACTCTGCTGTTGTTTGATACCTTGAGGAATAGAGGGCAAAAATCTGAAGAGAGGAGTTTTATTTTTGTGCTTTACACCTCCATGAGTATTGCTCATAATAACTGACACATAGGATCAGAATAATAGTCCATTTATCTACATATGTAGCTTTTTAAAGGATAATTAATTTTCAATGGGTGATAATAAAAATGTCATGTTTACTCCATGGTCATGAGCTTTAAACCTCTTTAAATGCCGATCTTGCTGGAAGGTACATTTTACCACCTGGGTCATGCCATCTGGGTTTGTTTAATATAGTTACACTCATTCAATATTATTTTTGTGATCCATTTTTAAAAACAAATAGTTATCTTTATTGGAAATATATAATACTGAATGAATAATCGATACTATTGATCATTGGCATATATCAACAGCATAATCAATAATAGTACAAAATTGAAAGCAAAGTTAAATACTACACAAATATCAGCCTTGGAAAAGTGCTGTGTGAAAAAAGAAAAAGAAAAAAACACAGTAACAAATAATATCTCTTTTGCATGTCATGAAATATTTTTCACCCAGACAAATAGAAGAAGTGAAAGTAAGGTTGATAAGCAGAGTATCACTGGAGTTATGCATTTCTGGAATAAAATTTTGATTCCATCAAATAACATTTCTATTGATTTCAATAGGGCTAGCAGTTCATGCTAATTGTCTACAAATAGCTTATTTCAGAAAAAAAATGTGAAAAGGAATCTTGACTGAAAGGTATTTTGATCACATATATAGTTCTCTAGTAACATTTTAGTGTAAATTTGGTAGGCAGGGTACACATTCTTTACTCATAACAACTGTACTTCGGGTAAACCTTTGTTCTTTGGGTGAAAAAAAAACTTCAGTAGCAGACCCCATTTGCCATCATCATCCTCTATTCATTTTAATATTTGACACTTCAGAACTAGTTTTCACAGTGCCATGCAATGCTTGCAAGTTTGCCATCCAAACTGTAGGCATCGCCATTCAGCTAATGTCATGTCCTGCATAGACACTGAACGAAAGGAAATATGTACAAGATTTGACTGCCCATCCGTATCGTGATTTTGTCCATATTCTTCTGTAAGTACCTGAGTTTGTTACTACCACCACTACAACTAACCCACTGTCCACCCAGGATGGGATACACACATGTAATTTCCAGCCCATATGCACGCATTGAGGCTCTGGACATTTATCAATAGACAAGATAACTATACAAGCCTGACTGAGGTCTGCAGTAAATTATAAGTTTAAATTTTCTACTACATTTAATTTCAGAACTAGTCTTGAGCTGATACTGCCCTCAGAGGCTTAGGAATAAACACAGTGGCACTGGGCAGAACTGTTAGGAAGCATGTGTATTATTTGCTATTGTAAAAGCTCTTCACAAATCCTGTAAAAAAAAAAAAATGACCCTAAGTGAGACTAGTGACATGCCTAAATACAGATTCTTGTCAAATCTGGCTTTTACTTCTCTATTGCAAGGGTTGTGGGGCTAATCTGCTCAAACATAAAGACAACATTTCAACTGTGAAACCCAAGAAGACTACGAAGGTCCTGCACAGAAGTGCGTGCCTTGCCCATGCCAGGGAACACACAGGCAGGTATCGCCTACCAAGCCTGACGGATTAGCCATTCTCACCTGGGTGATGGGGAGACCACAGCACAGTGCACTTGCGATTGCCAGTCCAGACAGGCCTCAAGCGGCCTCTCAGTCCATCCAAGTCTACCACTAGTTAGGAGTATATGGTGTTTCAGACACCTTGGAAAAAGAAGCTGCTACCACTGAAAATCGCATCAAGCTCCTTTAGTTAAAGACTGAAAGCCCCTCTCACATGCATCACAGTTCAGGAGAGTAGATGGGACGTGCACTGACTATAAGTCTTTTCAAACACTGGTGATCTGATATAGCCTGTATCGCTTCTGGCTCTCAATACCCAAATGGAGAATTCAGCTTACATAAACCACTCTCTTCATTTTCAACCTACCACTAGGAATGGGAAACAGCTAACGTGTTCAGCAGCACAGTGACCCAGGACAGCTGCCAACTGCTGTGGCCTAGTGCTACTCCCCTGCACCCTGCTAACTTACAGCAACCCTTACAGCAACCAGGAATCTTGTTTCTAAGACACTAGCTATATCATTCTGTGAACTTCTTAGCTAGACAGTACTGGTGAATCACTGTTTACCACCACATATAATACTCATTTGCAACTCTTAACTACCTCCACCAGCAATGTCTTCTCAATATCAACATTCCGGTGCGCAGCAGGCCTCCGAAAGGGATGAGCAGAGACAGATGCCATTAAAGTATACAGGGATGACACTTCCATGCTATGCAATACCTACCTGGGCATGGTGCTAATGAAAGCGTACAAAAAAGAATGAAGAGGAGAGAAATAAAATAAATAGGGAAGATGGTTACAAAATAAAAATACATGCTTTTAAATCAAATTGTTTAATGCATAAGATTACATGTGTACACACTGCTTATATTATTTTGCATTGCTGAATTTCTTAGGAGAACAAAGTCAGTGTAATGCAACGAAAGCCATACTACAGCAAAAACAAAATAATTTAAGTAGTTTCTGTGAAAATTCTTATACAGTAATCTGACAAAATGAGATCATGAAGTCTAAAAGTTGCACCTTTTTTTTTTCATTCTACCTCTATCTATCATTTTGCTTCATTTCTATGCAACCATACTTGATTCAGGATGTGAAATCATTTTCATGCGACAGAAAATAAGACACGTTTAGGTATCAATTTTATGCCAGTGAAAATACTGAAGTCCATGGACTGCATTTAAAAGCAAAATTATTCTAAAACCAGAGCGGAAACAGGGTTAACACTTGACTGCACAATCACTCCTACACAGTATCTTGAAACAAATAAATAAAACATTGCTACCATTGAAAGAGCATGATAATGGCGACATGTTTTGATTTTTAAGCTGATATAGTTAATGTAGTTTTTTAAATTCTGATGCAGTCATAAACCTCCTTTGCCCTTCCTGGAGACTCAAAAGCAACAGACACTTCATTTTCAGTGGATTTATTGGAATTGTCTGAAAAGCAGCAGACCCCAAGTTTAGAAGGCCTCAATGATGAGGGATTTCAGCATGCTGTGAGGCAAGCAGAACTGTTTCCTGTCCCCTTTTGTTCCAAGAGTAATTCAGAGCCTACTGAAGGAAGCAGAAGGGAGCCTACTGATTTCACTGAATTTGGGAAATGCTGCCAGAATAACAACGAAGACTAGAAAATGAGGCAGGCTAAAAATCTTTTCTGTTGCCAAGATCTCAACCACTTTTTCCTCTCCTTCAGTGATTCTAAACGCGATAAATCTGGAGACATTACTGATTTAAACCAGACATTCTCATTTTCAAATAGGAATGCCTAGGCAGACTATTCTAAATTAGAAATGTGGGTGTTAATCTGCCAGATTAGGCACCTGAATCTATATTCATACTCACTAGCAAAAGCTCTAATTCTGAACACTGAACCCTATATCTTGTGTAGACTACAATGATATTCTCTAAATTACAGCATATATTTTAAAAGCATGGAGCCTTCTGTCTCATTTTATTTGTGCATTTATAAAGCTAGATTCGAAATACTTAAGTTACAGGCATTATTATTCCTCAAATAAATCCAGAACTCGGTTCAACTTTTTAGATATAATCAAGCCAATGTTTTCAGAACTGAACACACCTTTTTATTTTTAATGGAAATTTCTTTTTATTCAGGGCTTAAATATTGTGCTGTGCCACTGAAAGGAAAATTATTCTCTGGCAATGAAAGGTAGATTTTTCTCTTTCCTGTTAATTCAGCAATGAGGAACAGGGCAGGAGTCAACCTACCTGGTGACAATATATTTGCTATCAATCTAATGTGAAATGACTAAGCCTCATTGTTCCTTTCCTTATAGCTATAGCCCTCAGACAGCTCAAAAAAATCACCTAAATGCTGAAAGACCTTGTCCACCTACCCACCCATTCCCTGACTCATGACAAGAGGAGAGTGGGATGATTCATGAGCCTTTTCCATAGCCAACTTCCTTTGATCATCTACAAAGACAAAAAAGCATGTTGTGTCTTTTAAAGATCGAGGAATCGGAAGCAAATTCTTCCCTAGACTCCAAGCATTAGTGCCAAATGTATCTGTTTCTGGACTGGTCAGGAAATATTCTTCCTGACCACACATGCTCTTGCGAAGTGACAATTGGCACACTGACATTTCTAATAAAGAAAGCCTGAAAAGTGCATTCAAATCTACCTTGAGTTAAAAACACCAAGAAAGAGACTTTCAATATTTATAAAAAATATACCTAGAATTGTACCCAGACAAATACCTGTCAGACCGTCCTCCTTCCAAGCTGTACCTCAGGTAGTTCATACCATCTAGGAACTGGCTGCTTGGTAAAGAGTCATCTCCTAGTTCTTTGAGGTCTTCTGGCCTAAGGTACTCTCCTCCATCTCCTGTCATTGTGTCATCACCTTGAAACAAAACACAGTAAGGAAATAGATAAGCACATGCACAACTTTGGTTTCCATTATATGTTGGAGTCTAACAGCCGGATAGCAAAAAGAACAAGGCGGCGATTTCCACTCATGAAACACTACAAACCACAAGCAATTAATTTACTTGACAAAACTGGCACATAAAGCAGGATAAACAAAACAAACAAACAAACAAAAAGAAAATCAAGGTGAGTAATCAACTGGATTTAATCTAAATTTTGCTATTGCACATATTGGTAAGGGGCATACTTCTTTGCTACTCTGCCAAGCATTTTTTTTCTGTTCTTTTTCTGTTGTTCCTTTATCTATTTTAGCTCTCTGCCGATAGCTGTAATATATAATTGCCTGACCCTTTAAGATGAAAAATAACCACTTGTTTGATTGTTTGCCTTGTATTTTCAGCTGAAAAGATGTTTTCCCTGGCCCTTTGCCCGATAGTTTCAAATTCTAATTTAAACTCTCCACTATCCATATTGACATCATATAAAGGCAAAAAAAATTATTTCTAAAGCATGGCAATATACGGAAAGTGGAATTAAATTCACATACATAGATGCTATTGTTCAAGTAATTCAAAATGAATCAAAGCCTAAATGAATAATATTAGAGTATCTCATATATTATCCTTTTTGCATATATTCTGAATATTAACAAAAATATTTTTTTAAGCTCCCAAATTATTTTCTCCAGGAAATTTTATGTTTATGATGTCTTTGTTTTTCTCAGTGACTAATAAAACCATTCACACTGCCAGTTAGTACGCGAATGTTTCTTCTCACTCCCATTCGCATCATGGTTTTTCCTTGTAGTTTCTGCCTGAAAATGTATTTACACCTGTATCTTTCCTGTCACTTCTCAACCATTAATTACTAATGAATGAGCCTATCCAGGGCTCGAGGCAACCCGCAGAACCCCAAAATATGACTGCAGCCCACCAGTAGTTTTCTGATATTCTCAGCTGCATTGGAAAATGTCAAGAACCTAAAGCTCATGCCTAGTTACATGAATAATACACCTATAATATGGAAGTAGAGTCTTCAGCAGCTACACGTCCTATCTGTGGTAATCCACCCTGTAGTTGGGAAGCACATGGAGGGCGGTATTTAGGCTTAGACAACTATCCATACTATCACACAGAGAATCCATTTGGGCATCAGGACAGTCGCCACTTCTGTGATACAAAGTCCTAATAAAACAATACTGCGATTAAGTAATTATTTTTACTGCTGCGATTTCTGATAAAACATCACTTTTTTTCCTACAAAACGTTACTACCATTGCAAGCTATATAAGTAGCACTCATTTCCAAAGACAGAAATCTTGTTAGCCCCTTTCACGAAAACGATCAAGCTATTTTTTCTGGCTTGATTTTTCATCTGATAAAGACATGCACAATTTTACATCTAAAACCAAATTACCCGAGGGCTTTTAAAGAGTTTGTGCATACATATGCAAATATTTTAAGTAAAAATAAGGCCTAAATCTTCTCAGTATAATAACAAAAGCCCTTGAAAATTCCATCTGCCCACATTAAGAGGGAGAAACTGGGCACTGTTTCACAGAAAACAATAAAATGCATTTAATCACTGCATGTTTCCTGTCTTCTGACAGTTGATGCCTCCTGTTTCCTGGGAATGTCACATTATAAAGCACAGGGTTTAGCAAAAACTTGGAAGATATTAAGGCAATGCTGTTAATCAAAAAATAAAAGGAATTTCAAGTTATATTTCAAATAAACTAGATACTTATATTCATGCCAGACATTCCATCCATAATAGAAACAAAGGCAAAATCCTCACTGCTTTCATCACACCCACATCCTTTACAAAAAAAAATCCAAACTCTACTCATATTTCAACTTTGGCCTCTCATATAAGAGTTGTCAATAATGGGGCTAAGTCATATGATGTTAACATCTGCAAACAGTAATTAGACTATCCATAATGTCTTCTAAATATCAATCCGGTGGTATTAAAGCTCATGTGCTAGTACATGGGCCTTGAGTCTATGAGCTAGAAGTTAAAAGTCACTTCCCACAACTCCTGGTATCCCTCCATCTTCCCTTAATATGATATACCTCCCATTCCCTCCCTTCTCCTCCCCAAAATACTACACTGTCCAGTGTATGAAGAACAACTAGTGTGTTAAATCTGAATGACTGTGTAAGCAACATAGCATTTCATGTAACCTAGATACCTCAGTGTCTCAAGTGCTGATAAGCAGAGCAACTGCATGAATGCAAAGCAAATTATTCTCAGTCTATAAAACAAGCAGCCATTCATCCCACCAGCCATACTGCACTGTCATTTAACTATCTGACACAGCTCTATTCCTGAGTTTCAATCAACTCTTTGCACTGTAATTTGCACAAAACCATACAAAAACATCTGCTGAGAAGAAATTATATATTGAGCTGACCATAGCCTTTCTTTACACAGCAAATCTTCCACAGGGTAATTTCTTGCACCTTTACATAGCTACCTTTTAATCATGCTGGAAGTGATTATCTGCCATCACATTCCCCTCCAAATCTATGACAGTCATGTTTTTCCCTCCTCTTAAGCAGTTCGTGATGCACACAGCACTTGATATTGATGTTTCAAGGTTTCTGGTATAAACTAGGAACTTACAGATGGATTTCAACAAGTTACCTTTATTTTTGATCAAATCTGCATTTCTGAATATCATGTTTTTCAGGGCAGTTTTGGAAGGATATAAAATGCACAGAAGGATTTAGTATGTACCTGGACTATCCTAAAAGCAACACTGGAAACCTGCAGGCAAGGACACTGTGACAACAGTTAGTCAAAAACAAAAGTATCCACAAACCTAGGAATCTTAATTCCGTTTCTAAGAAAACAGTAGCAAATACTTGAGTCTTTGAGCGACTTCTGCAGAGTTGTCAACTTAATATTTTGCAGGATTGGACACAAGATGAATAAAGAGGGGAAGGGAGGGTAGATGGACAGAGGAAAAAAAAAGAGAGTATTTCTGAGAAGCAGAATGGGAAAATTAAATAAACTTAGTTATAATTTTATGCTTAAGGCAGGAAGAAACTAACAGTGGACAAGTCAAGATCAGGTTGCTTACTGTTAGTAACACTGTATTATTTTTAAATATATATTTATCACAATCAAGCCAACTAAGAGCACACCTCTGTAAACCGGTATCACCTCTGTAAACACCGAGTATCACAGGGATTATTGGACTGGAGTTCTACGAGCTGTGCAGACACACAGCACAGCCTGTGCTCAGAAGCACTAGGAGCACAGCTAACCTTTGAGGGCTGTGCCAGAGCAAGCTGTTTCTCACAGGGGCTGTTGACCCAGGAGCAGGGTCATGCAGCTGGCCCAAGCACACATCCCTGCACGTGCTGTGCAACACGGGCTGGCATGAACCGGGGAACCTCGGCACTGTGCTGTGTGGTGCTGTGGGTGCACACCAGGGCAATGAAGGATCCAGTTCTGAGCAACTTAGAAGCTGTGAAGCTGAACTGAAACAGAACTGCAAACCCAACTTGAAAACTCCACAACTGATCAACTTTTTGCTCAAGTCAGCAATACTCATGTTCTGCTCTTCCCCTCCGCACCATGCTCCCCCGCCCCTGTAGATTTCATGATGATTATACATTACTTCTGTTATCAGGAAGGGAAGTATCTGGGAAGACTTGTAGTATCTGATGATCACTCAATTAGTAAATGCTTGTCTTACTCTATTCTCATATTACAGAGAAAACAAGAAGTTAATTTTCATGCTGATGATTTCACCTGTTTGAACACAGGTCTTGAGCACCATAAATCACTGAATGGACAGTAAGTGGGCTACATGCTGAGACCACAAATCAACTCCTTCAGTGACAGCATAGCTGAATATAGAGTATTTTATCCAGTCATAATAACCAGAGGACCACAGTGATGCTCCTGTATTTTGATTGCAATCTTTCTTAAATTTTAACAAAGAAGTGGTATTTCCTACATAAACAACGGATTAAATAATGATTGTCAATCACTTTGAAATCTTTCAATGAAAGCTTGCTTTAAGAGCAAAATAACATTAAATGGACAGTAGCTTGGGGCACCCAGCCACAGCACTTCTCCACTTCAGAAGTCAGATTTTGCTTACGGGAGAAGTGTTTAAATAACATATCTTAAATTGAGCAGCTTTGTTCAGAAGTAATCCTAGCTACTGTTATCAGGGAACCATGCAGAGGTTTGATCAAGAAATCAGACTAAAAATTTTCACTGCATCTTGCTGGATATCCCCATACAGAGTCAACTCACTGAGGGAAGTCTGGACAAAGCTGTATTTCCCACAGTTCTCCTACTATGCAAGAGAATTGCAAACAACTGCAGCATCAGAATTCCTGTGGGACTGCTTCTTACAGAGCACAGAGAGAACAAAGGAAAAGGTTAAAAAGGGAGAAAGAAACAGGGCAGCAATAAAAACTGCTGCAAATTGCTCTTAATAGATGTTTTTATAACCACATACAGTTATGTGAGTTTGCCAAAATAATTGTTTTCTTTGCAACACGCAGATAAGTCTACAGCTCTCCATATAAAGTGTTGCTTCTTAAAAGCAACAAATGGAGAAGAGGTAGCCATGGCAAACATCAATTTTTTATGAAATACATAAGCCCTGAAGTATCTTTAATGGCATGTATAATGCAGGGCTGCTCTTGACACTTCCTCTAGAAACCTTTGTTTCCCGAGAGTCAATCTGTTGATTAATGGCCCCCACACGTTACGAATTTTCTGGTGTTACAATAACTTTGGCTAATGCTCTATATTTCTGTAATTCCATCCAGTCAGGAAAGCAGAGTTTCATACATGCCTTTAAACACAAATCATCATGTCAGCTACTGACAGCTCAACAAAGCACTTGCATAAAGGAAAAACGAAGAAAATGAAAAGAAAAAAAAAAATACATCTCCATTCCAGGGACTCTGCAGAGGAAAAGGTAACTGGATGCTGTTTCCT